TTAGGACAATTGGAAGAAGACATTTTATTTACAAAGGTGTGGGTGACTGCTGGGAAATGCAAGGGATAGTGCTACCCTGGCCCAAAGGAAGGAAAAGAGAGGGAAGTTCCAACAGGGGTTCTGACTTATTTGGTGCCACACATCCCTTTGGCATTCTAGTAAAACACAAAATATATAATATTGAAACCAAAATAGACCCAGTGAATTGCATTCCACTTACCAAAATATTAATAAAACCCTGCAAACTTGCAATAGAATAAATCATGTACTTCTTTATTGCCATATTAAATAAAAGATAACATTTGAAACCCAGGAAAGTTGAAGTTTAAATTTAATAAAGACATATCAGTACAAAAGATGTTGTTGCTTAGCTTGAATAAGATCTTTAAACTGTGAAGTGGTCTTTGACAAAGCAAAACACAGACATAGGACAGTTTCACAGCTCATGTGAAATCTCTCTTCTGGGCTACTGAAACCCAGAAGACAGTCGTAAGAACTGTTCCTGAGGTAGGGTCTAGAGAGGAGTATTGTCCTTAATTGAGGTTTAGGTATGCCTGAGGTGACCTTGTGGGGAGACAGCCAGGGGGATGGTTACTCCAAGCTAGTGTGTTCCCTTCCAGTGCATTCTCTTCTTGTAGGCACACTCTATGGAACCTAACTTTAAATAGCAGTCCCCTGGAGAGCACAGAATCATAACAAGGGCCCTTAGCAACACAGGGCACTGACAAAGTAGCTCTATTCACATAGGATTCCAGTGGTTCCCTTTTTGGAACTAAGTCAGCATTCTGTCCCTACTCCTGAGCAGCCCCAGCACCCAATGACAGGTCCTTAAGCTATGTTAGTACCTTCAGGCAATACCTGGAAAGCCCTGCAAGCTCAGGAACTGCTCTATTTCTTCAGGATATCTGCTCTCAAATTTGAGTGTATATTAGAAGCAACAGAGACACATGAAAAAATCTATTGTTGAGCTGGGTGCAGTGGCGCATGCCTTTAATCTCCGTGCTTTGTGAGCCTGAGGCAGGAGGATTGCAAGTTCAAAGCCAGCCTCAGCAATTTAGTGAGCCCTAAGCAATTCAGCTGAGGCAGGAGGATCACAAGTTCATGGCCAGTCTCAAAATAAAACTTTTAGAAAGAACTGAGAAAAATGGGTTGGGGTTGTGGCTGAGTGGTAGAGCACTTGCCTAGCATGTGTGAGGCACTGGTTTCAATTCTCAGCACCACATATAAATAAATAAATAAATATAAACAATTAATATGTGTGTGTGTGTGTATAAAGATCTGAGAGCTGGGCATGGTTGTGCACACCTGTAATCCCAACAGCTTGGGAGGCTGGCAAGGCACTAAGCAACTCAGTGAGACCCTGTCTCTAAATAAAATACAAACTAGGGCTGAGGATGTGGTTCAGTGGTCGAGTGCTTCTGAGTTCAATCTCTGGTTTAAAAAAAAAAAAAAGATCTGAGAAAAAATTAAAAAGGCCTGGGGATATAGTTTAGTGGTAGAGTGCCCTGGGTTCAGTCCCCAGTGGTAGGGGGTGGGGGCTTTCGGCCCTCCCTCCCACCAATGGCTGTGTTTTAATCAGTCTTGTCTGTGTGATGAAGCCTCCATAAATACTCAAAAGGATGGGGTTCAGAGAGCTGCCAGGTTGGGGAACACATGGAAGTGATGGGAATGTGGCATGCCCAGGGAGGACATGGAAGCTCCCTACTCCTCTCCCAGTACCTGCCCTATGCATCTCTTCTATGTCCTGAGTTGTATCCTTTATAACAAATCAGTAAACATAAATAAAGTGTTTCCCTGAGTTCTGTGAGCCATTCTAGCAAATTATTGAACTCAAGGAGCGGATCATACCCTCCTCTAGTTTGTAGCTGACTGGCCAGAAGTATAAGAGGTGGAAACTTGTGTTGGGCACAGTGGCCCATGCCTGTATTCCCAGAGGCTTGAGACGCTGAGGCAGGAGTATCGCAAGTTCAGCAAAAGCGAGGTGTTAAGCAACTCTGTGAGACTCTGTCTCTAAATAAAATACAAAATAGGGCTGGGGATGTGTGTCAGTGGTGAGAGCCCCTGAGTTCAATCCCCAGCACCCCCCCCAAAAAAAAGAGGTGGAAACTTGTAATTAGCATCCTAACTGGGGGTGAGGGGTCTTATGGGATGAAGCCCTTTGACTTGTGGGATTGGTAGATAGTATCAGAACTGAATTAAATTGTAGGACACCAAAGTATCCAACAAAGAGTTGGAGAATTGGTTGGTGTTGGGGGAATCCCACATGAAGTGTTATGAACAACAAGATAAATTGTGTAGGGCTGGGGATATGGCTCAAGCGGTAGTGTGCTTGCCTAGCATGTGTGAAGCACTGGGTTCGATTCTCAGCACCATGTAAAAAAAAAAAAAGATATTGTGTCCACCTAAAACTAAAAATGAATATTTAAAAAAAAAAGATAAATAGTGTATTTTTCCTTTTTACTCTTAAAGCCACACAACTTGTTCCCTCACCTCTTTGAAATCTGCTTAAATATCACTTTCTCAGAGAAAACTTCACTGCTTACTCTATTCAAAACTGCACTCTACACATGGCATTTTTATCCTCCGTCCCTACTTTTCCTCCTTCACCTTTTTTTAAAATATTTATTTATTTATTTTTTAGTTTTTGGCGAACACAACATCTTTGTTTGTATGTGGTGCTGAGGATCGAACCCGGGCCGCCCGCATGCCAGGCTAGCGTGCTACCGCTTGAGCCACATCCCCAGCCCCTCCTCCTTCACCTTTAATATACTTCTTTATACTTATTGTTTTCCTTCCCCAATTTGACTGACTATGAGGACAAGAGTTTTCATTTGTTTGGTTCATCAGCCCTGGAAGCATGCATGGCATATAATAGGCAGGCACTCAATACATGTTTGAATAAATGCATGAATAGAGAAGCAAATTGCCCCAAGCGGGCAGAGAGAGCACTGGGAGGGCAGGGGCTGAGTCTCTCTGAAGCTGCTACAAAGGGAACTCAAGAAGTCAAGAGTCCACCCCGGCATCCCCACCCCATCTCAGTCAGGAAGAGGCAGTGAGAAGTGAAAACTCAGCTATGAAGCAGAAGTAGCTGAGAAGACAGCAGAAGGAAAGGGGTCTACATCAGTACTGGGACAGGGTGGTGGGGCCCAGGGCAAGGACTTTGGACAAGGAGGACTCAGTGAGGGGGATGCTGTCTCCTCACTTTCCTGAAAGTGAAGTGAAGAGTAGAAAAGGGAGAAAGGCTATGCCTAGGGAGGGCATTTATTAGAAAGTACTCACACACTCTGCTGAATCCATGGTGACCAGCACCCTTAAAACACACACACACACATACACGGGGTGGGGTCGGGGGGTGTGCAAGCTGGTGCTTGTGATGTCAGCTTCTCTGCAGTTTGAGAACCACTTTCAGTTTCGCTGAGTATCTATTTAAATTCTTGAATTCCACTGGGTGCACACCTGTAATCTCTCAGTGGCTAGGAAGGCTGAGAAGCAGAAGGATCCCAGGTTCAAGGCCAGCCTTAGCAGCTTAGTGAGGCCCTGTCTGAAAAAATAAAAATAAAAAGGGCTGGGGATATGGCTCTGTGGTAGAGTCACCCTGAGCTCAATCCCCAGTACTACAAAGTTCTGAACTCTTCAAGTCCTGAACTCTTTACATTTTAACAAGGATTTCAAAGAAGACAAGATGAGGTGACATTGCACATCCTAAAGCAAATAAATTAAATCCTCCATTAGGCATTTCCATGTTTCCAAGTGCCCCTCTAGAACTGCCAGGAGTGAGGGTTCCCTCTATTGCTAGGCCCTGTATCTATCTCACCACCTTCCTGGATTGTCCATGGATTTCAGAGTCTTCTCCCATCCACAATGCAGAAAAATTCAGCCAGCCCTCCCTTGGCTCCCTATCCTAACCCATGTGCCCAGACTAATGAAACCTAACAAAGTTCAAAACTTTATAGTTATCTGAATATCATGACTTATTCAAGGGAAATATTTGTTTATTCCTGATAATAAATGCCCTGGGATCTTACTGTCCTTCCCCCATATCTTCAATAGCTTATCAAAATATTTCTTTGCATAAGGGATATAACTCAGTGGTAGAGCATTTGACTAGCATGATCGAGGAGGACCTGAGTTGGATCCCCAGTAATGGAAAAAAAAACTTAGAAACAAAAAAAGCACCCCCCCAAAAAATTATTTCAATACATCTGTAATCTAACATGCTCATGAGGCAGAAGTAATAGGATCACAAGTTTGAGGCCAGACTGGGCAACTTAGTGAGACAAATTTAAAAACTGTCTGAAATAAAATAAAAAGGTTTGGATGTAGCTCTGTGGTAGTGTACTTGCTTAGCAGGTATGAAACCCTGGGTTTAATCCCCAGCATACACAGGAGTGGAATTGAGCAAAGTAGAGTACCTGTAGTCCCATCTACTTAGGAAGCTAAAATAGGAAGATCACTTAAGCCCAAAAGAAGAAGAAGAAGAAGCCAGGAATGATGGCACGTATCTGTAATCCCACTACTCTGTAATCCTAGTTACTCAGGAGGCTAGGCAGGAGGATTGCAAATTTAAGGCTAGCCTCAACAACTTGGCAAAACCTGTCTCAAAATTAAAAATAAAAAGGGCTATGGGCCAGGCATAGTAGTGAATGCCTGAAATCCCAGAGGCTCCAGAGGCTAGACAGGAGGATCACAAGACCAGCCTCAGCAATGGCAAGGCGCTAAGCAACTCAGTGAGACCCTGTCTCTAAATAAAATACAAAATAGGGCTGGGGGTGTGGCTCAGTCCCCAGTACCCACCTCCAAAAAAAAAAGGGCTATGGATGTAGATATCCCTGGGTTCAATCCCCACTGCCACACACATATACACACACACAAAAGGAGTTTATAGAATGTTCTTTTTTCATGTCCTTTTTATGCCTACTCCCCCTTCTTCCTGGGGTGCTGGTGTCAGCAGAAGTTGATGGGGAAGTGAGATCTAAGAGGTAGCAAAGAGGGGAATGAGGAGAAAGGGGAAGTTTGGGAGGGAGGCCTCAGGGGAGACTGGTGGGAGAGAAGAGCCGGCAGACTAACAGACAGAGCCAGTCTGGTTCTCTCTCCCTACTGCCACCTGCCACCTGCCACCTGCCACGGGCATCTGCTGAGCTATGAGCCAAACCAGGGATTTACAGGGTAGGGAGGTATAAAGGCTGGAGCTTGCAATGGGAACAAGGAGGTGGGCAGCCCTGGGCCAGGGAGCTAGGTTAGGGCAGGCGGAAGGAGGGGAGAGCTCCAGGACAGAATTGTGGGTGACTCTGGGCTGGGTGTGGGGGTGCGGAGAGTAAGGGAGGGGTGAGGGTTGATCAATCTTTGTATTCCTCAGGAGGTAAAGCTTTTGGACTACTGAAGGCCCAGCAGGAAGAGAGACTGAATGAGATCAACAAGGTAAAAGGAAGACCTGAGGAGGCAGAGCCTGGGGGATGGAGCCCTGGGGCAGAGGGAGCCAATCCTGCTGTTACCTTTCCCCAACAGCAATTCCTGGAGGATCCCAAATACAGCACTGATGAGGATCTACCCTCCAAACTGGAAGCCTTCAAGAGTGAGGGGGAAACTGTTAGGGTGGAAAGGGGCCTGGTAGGCTTGGGGGTAGGATTTCTACAAGAACCCAGAGGGGACAATGAAAACGCAGAATTGACTTTGTTGTAGGAAAAGGAGAACCTACCTTGATTGTTCCCCTCCCACATTGGAGTCCCTTTCCCTGGCTTGCCCCTCTTAGCACCCCTCTAATTCCCTCCACTTTAACAGGGCTTCTCAACCCTTCAACCCTACTTCCTCCGCCTGCCCCTCCTCCTTCTTCCACATCTTCTTTCTCAGCTGGTCAGCCACCTCTTTCTCAATCCCCTTCCCTGGACCCTACAACCAGGGCTTACCCTATCTGCTTTCTTCCCTCATTCAGAAAAATATATGGAGTTTGACCTGAACGGAAATGGAGATATTGGTAAGAAAAGGGTGATTTGGGGGAGTGTGCAGGCCTAGGCAGATGAAAAACTCTTCCACTTATTCTGTTCCCTGTGGCTTTGGGGGAGAGTCTACCTACCAGAGTAAGAGGACGGAGAATGAGAATTTGGAGGTGGGAAAGGAGGCAGAGAGAGAGAGGGATTCCCTTTCTTCTCCACATCCTGATCCTCTCCCTCCAGATATCATGTCCTTGAAGCAAATGCTAGAGAAACTTGGGATCCCCAAGACCCACCTAGAGCTTAAGAAATTAATTAGAGAGGTGTCAAGTGGCTCTGGGGAGACATTCAGCTATCCTGACTTTCTCAGAATGATGCTGGGCAAGAGATCCGCCATCTTAAAAATGTAAGAGTCCATTTCCAACTTCCCCTATATTTACCATTTTCTTGTCCACCCCCAGCCCTACTCTTATCCCCAGCCTCAACTGCTATACATTACTCAGCATCCACTTTTCCATTGTGACAGGGACTCTTCCAAGGTCCTCTTCCCATCCCTATTCCTCTGCATAGCTCCTAGCACTGCCACCTCTGCTCTCATTCTTCCTCCTCCCACCCTCACAACCCCGTCCCCTTGAGACACTCACAGCAGCCTAAGATTTGTTCCCTTGAAAAAAGTGTTCCTTGATACCTGTGTCTCTTCCAGGATCTTAATGTATGAGGAGAAAGCAAGAGAACAGGAAAAGCCAACGGGTCCCCCAGCCAAGAAGGCTATCTCTGAATTGCCCTAATTTGTGTGTATGTGTGTGTGTGTGTTATGTGTGTGTACACACATGTGCATGTCCACAGCGAGATTGAAGGGGCTTCTAATGATCCCAACATGAAAAAACAAAACAAAACAAAAAACCAAAATTGTGAGCCAGTCAAACGAAATAAATTATCCTTCCCTTCCAGATCAAGTCTGTATGGTTTTTATTTTGGGGATTTTTCTCCCCCTGGGCTTGGGAAAGAGAGATGATATATCTTCCAGGGAAAGACAGCAAGGACTTGTTCAAATAAACAATCTATCAACAATTCTGTAGCTATGTGTGGTGGCACACACCTTCAAGCCCAGCTATTTGAGAGGCAGGGGCAGGAGGATAGCAAATTCATGACCACTCTAGGCAAAAATAAAAAGTCCTGGCATAGTGGAACACACCTGTAGTCAATTCAGGAGGCTAAGGCAGGAAGATTACAAGTTCAAGGCCAGCCTCAGCAACTTAGTGAGACCCTCAGCAACTTAATGAGATCCTGTCTCAAAATAAAAAATTAAAAGTACTGGAGATGTAGGTTGGTGATAAAGTGTCCCTGGATTTAATCCCAAGTACCAAAACCAAAATAAAAAGGGCTGGGAATATAGCTCAGTGACAGAGTACTCCAGGTTCAATCTTCAGTACTGCAAAAAATTAAAATAAATAAAAAATTGTAGTATCTACTACAACAGATGGCTCTGTGCACCAAGGGGGATTCCAGATGTATAAGACAGTTGTGACCTGAAGAAATTTAGGTAGGCTATTTTTAAAAATCTGTTTATTTGGCACAAGTCCATGGTAACTTTCACAAAAGAATGAGGATTACTTTGAACTAACGTTCTCCACTACTATAGTTTTCTGACCTTGACAAATCTCTCAGCCTCTCTGAGGTTTTTATCTGAAAATGGGGATAATATATCTTGCCTGGCATATCACAAGCCCTTAATGTTTAAAACTTGAATGAATGAATGAATGAAAGAACTGATGTCATTAAATGAAGTAAAGGATTTACAATACTATAAGTTCTGATAACTTAAGAGTTAAATGAGTCATTGAGATCCTCCTATTGGGGAAAAGCTATAGAAACCCAGTTTATCATTGTGAGCATGTCTGAATATGTAACAACAAATCCCGCTACTATATACAACTATAATGCACCAATAAAAACATGGAAAGAAAGAAAAGGGGGCAGATAATGGAGACACAGGATCTCTTGAGTTGAAGAAAGGGGTGAACAGTCAAATCCAGGGAAGGTAGGAGCCTAAGAGCTTCATAGTATTTGATGAGGCCAGACCTTTCCTCCTCCAAGGTATCCAGATGAGTCAACTCTAACAACCCTCACTCTTTGGACAGTATTTCAGATATCTTTCTCACCCCCGCCCCACCCCAGCCTTTTTTTTTTTTTTTTGGCGCACAGTTGGTTGGCCAGTGAAGGGGTTCGTCAAGCCCAGGGCTTCCTGCATGCTGGACAAGCACTGTAACACTGAGCTACATTCCTAACCTCATGTTTCTTAAGTCCCTTGATAATGAGAATCTGATTATCCCAGTTTAATTCACATACTGAGCATGTACTGGACCACTAAGCCTTTCATAGTGGCTCTTCCCAGTGGGGAAGCCAGGAAGGCATCCAGGTAGGTAATTCCTATAGAGCTGCAGTGACTGTATACGACTTCAGATGATATAGAGATCATTGCTTCATGACCAAAACTTAATCATTGAATAAGTTAATACGTATCTAACTGTAATGAAATTCATAGCTAACCTTTATTGAGCACCTACTATGTACAGGATACTATTCTAAATACTTTCCATGTATTAATTCATTTAATTTTCACAACAACCCTGGGGCTTAAATAATTCATTCATTCAGGATAAATAGCGTTATACTCATACCATGTACTATTACCACCCAGCAATAAGAATTAAGAAGCTACAACTGCACACAACAACATGAATGAATATTATATATACAGTGTTGAGCAAGAGGAATCCTTACTGTATAGTTTGTATAAAATATAAGAAAGGTAAAATTCAGGTATATTATATGTAGTTGGGATAGTAATTAGCCTTGGGAGAGGGTACTAACAAGCAGAAGTTCCAGGGCAGCTTCTGAGATGGGGTGCTAGTTAAGATTCTGTTTTTGTGATCACATGTTCTGCTTAGTTTGTGAAAATTCATACATATTTATTACATACATATATATTGTGCTGTGATTAAAAAATGTTAAATCCTTTATTTTATAGGCATCAACTACAGGCTAGTCTCTTTTTATAAGTTCTTGAGATGTAAAAGTGAACAAAACAAACATCTCTCTCTTTCATTCTATTTTGGGAATTGGTAGAGGAGGAGAAAGACTGTCAACAAACAAAATTTAAAATTTATATGGGGTCTGGGGATTCAATTTAGAGGTAGAGTGCTTACCTAGCAAACCTGAGGGCCAGGATGGGATCTCCAGCTCCAAAAATAACAACAAATAAAACTTATATATTAGGAAATGATAAGTAGTATGAATTGGGCATGGTGGTGCACACCTGTAATCCCAGCAACTTGGGAGGCTGAGGCAGGAGGATACCAAGTTCAAGGCCAGCGTCAGCAATTTAGCAAGGCTCTAAGCAACTTACTAAGATCCTGTCTCATGGTCTGGGGCTGTAGCTCATGCCTCACATGTGTGAGGTACTAGGTTCGATCCTCAGCACCACATATAAATAAATAAATAAATAAAAGATATTGTGTCCATATACAACTAAAAAAAAATCCTGTCTTAAAATAAAAAATATAAAGGACTGGGGATGTGGCTCAGTTGGTTAAGTGCCCTAAGTTCAATCCCCAGTATCACAAAAGTGAGGAATGAGGGGGTACCAGGATTTAGGGGTGGGGGCAGAGGAGATTAAAATTTGAAACAGTTAATAAGGATAGGCCTTACTGTTTAGGTGATTAACTTTGAGCAAAAAGTTCAAGGAGGGTAAAGCGTGAGCCACAAGGGCTTCTGGGGGAAGAGCCAACTACAGAGGAAGAGGGCATCAGAAAGGCTCCAAAGTAAGACATCTCTTACAGCAGGTAGAGAAAGCAATAAAATCAGAGACTGTATGTGATCGACCCACTGAGGAATGGTAGGTCACACTAAAGAGTTTGGCTTTTATTCTGAGACAAATTGGAACATTACAGGACATTGATCAGATGAGTCCCTTGAGGCCTCCTGGGAGAAAAGACCCATTCTGGCTACTGTGTAGAGAGGAGTCTGTAGGAGCAGGAGAGACTCAAGGAGACCAACTGAGAGGCTGTTGCTATATCCCCACTGAGAGATGATGGTGGCTTAGATCAAGGTGGAAGCAGTGGAAGTGATGAGGTTGGATATCTTCTCAAGATAAAATTTCCTATTTGATTGCAAGTGAGAAGTGAGATTAAGAAAGGAGCAATGCTGGCCGTTGAGGTGTAAACCTGTAATCCCAGTGGCATGGTAGGCTAAGGCAGGAGGATCACAAGTTCAAAGCCAGTCTCAGTCTCCGAGAGGCATTAAGCAACTCAGTGAAACCCTGTCTGTAAATAAAATACGAAATTGGGCTGGGGATGTAGATCAGAGGTTGAGCACCCCTGAGAGGGAGGGAGGGAGGGAGGGAGGGAGGGAGGGAGGAAGGAAGGAAGGAAGGAAGGAAGGAAGGAAGGGTCAATGAGGATTCTGAGGTTTTGGACTTCACCGGATTTTTGAAATTGCCATCAGCTTCAGCTGATGGGGAAGGCTATGAATACAGCAAGTTTTGAGAAGCTGGAGATCAAATGTCTATCTTTGGATACACTTAATTTGAAATGGTCTATTAGATATCCGAGAGACATCAAACCTAAATACAAGTCTGGAGTTGGGGGGAGAGATCCATGATGAAACTATATGTTTGGAAGTCATCAATGCATAAATGCTATCTGAAACCAAGAGACTTGATGTCCTTGACAACCCATTTTGGTTAGTAGAGGGTCAGGGTGAAGCCTTCACTGGAGTGAGTTTAAGTGAGATTGGGGACTAGAGGTAGAGCTCAGTGGTAGAGCATGTGCTTAGTATTTGTAAGGCCCTGGGTTGGATGAAAGTTACCTTGGAAGTACAGAAATTAGAGAAAGTAATAATAGACACCTTTAAGAAAATATTGTACCGTTAAAGAAAAAAAAAGAAAAATAAAAATTTTTTGCTGTGGCAAAGGGGAGCAAAAAAATGGTGTGGTAGTTAACTATAGAGAGAGAGAGAGGATAAGACAATAATTTTTGAAAGTTTGGAAACTGAACCTTACAAATACAAATATGTATTTGTATTTGATGCCAGGTCCTCACACATGCTACACCCTTAAAGGCTAAAATTCTTCTTCTTCTTCTTTTTTTTTTTTTTTTTTTTTGGTACTGGGGATTGAACTCAGAGTGCTTTACCACTGGGCTACATCCCCTGTACTTTTTCTTTTTTAGTTTTAGACAGGATTTCTCTAAATTGCTAAGGGCCTTGCTAAATTGCTGAGACTGGCCTTGAACTTGCTATTCTCCTACCTCAGCCTCCCAAGTTGCTGAAATTACAGGCATGTGTCACCATACCTGCTGCAAAGGCTAATATTCTTAACTGACTCCTGACAAATTTTCTGCCTTCACTGTCCAAAAAATGGACAAATAGTCATTTTTATCATTGCCAGCTAGGTGCAGGTCCCCAAACACACGCTTTCACTGATCTGTTCACTGAACCTTATTTTGCACCCTCTCAAAACTTGGCTAAACTATAATTAGCTCTTCTTTTTCATTCTTTCGGTACAGGGGACTGAATCCAGTGGTGTTCTACCCTTGAGCTACATACTTAGTCCTTTTTATTTTGAGACAGTCTTGCTACATTACCCTGGCTGAACTTGGATTTGCGATCCTCCTGATTCAGCCTCCGGAGTTGCTAGGATTACAGGTGAGCACCACTGAGCCCGACTTCATATTTTTTAATGTTTTTTTCTAGAAGCACTTCTAAACTTCCCCAGGCAGACACATTTTATTTTTACTTCTATAATATTCTGTGCATATATTCAGAGTTTCAAAATATCGTTGTTGAATGATTTGTTGAACTAGCAGGTCTAAATGGAGCCGAGGATTCTACAGTCAAGAACTGAAGACAAAGGGAGAAAACAGTCCTGCAGTTTGTAAAATGAAACCCT